CGGGCCCGGTCAGTGGTTCCACGGGCCCTGCGTGGATTGTGAGCGGGCGCTGGGCCCGGTCAGCGGGTCCACGGGCCCTGCGTGGATTGCAAGCGGGTGCCGGGCCCAGTCAGTGGGTCCACGGGCCCTGCGTGGATTGTGAGCGGGTGCCGGGCCCGGTCAGCGGGTCCACGGGTCCACGGTCCCTGAGTGGATTGCGAGCAGGTGCCGGGCCCGGTCAGTGGGTCCACGGGCCCTGCGTGGATTGCGAGCGGGTGCCGGGCCCGGTCAGCGGGTCCACGGGCCCTGCGTGGATTGTGAGTGGGTGCTGGGCCCGGTCAGCGGGTCCACGGGTCCATGGTCCCTGCGTGGATTGCAAGCGGGTACGGGGCCCGGTCAGCGGGTCCACGGGCCCTGCGTGGATTGCGAGCGGGTGCGGGGCCCGGTCAGCGGGTCCACGGGCCCTGCGTGGATTGCGAGCGGGTGCCGGGCCCGGTCAGCGGGTCCACGGGCCCTGCGTGGATTGTGAGCGGGTGCCGGGCCCGGTCAGCGGGTCCACAGGTCCACGGGCCCTGCATGGATTGCGAGCGGGTGCCGGGCCTGGTCAGCGGTGCTTCTTGTCTCCTCGGGTAGAAGCTTTACTGGGCCCAGATGCGCACGTCCCCTGCTGCTGGACTCAGGTGGGGCTGAGAGCTCGGGGCAGTGCTGGGCACATGGCCTCCTGCCCCCCAGCCTCCGTGGTCAAGGCCTTGCAGCTTCCTTTAATCGTCGTCCCTAAAAGTAACAGCCAAATATTGTAATCTCGTCCCTCTCACCACAACTGTTTCAGTGAATGTCCCATTTTCACCGTTCGTATCATATGGGCTTCCCCAGGGCAGAGCTGCAGGCATCCTGTCGGAAGAATGTTCCCTTCTGACGCTGCTGTTCCAGAAGCGGACGGTGCTTATGGGCCCGTTCCACCTAAGTGGCAGGTGCAGCCTGGCAGGGGGACCCATGAGCCTTCAAGGCAGTGCAACCCCAGCCCCAGCCTCCGAGCACCAGCGTTTGCCCTTGGCTCGGTGACCCAGGGCTTTGCAGACTCCTGTCCACTGGGGTGACCCGGGGCCTGCCCTCTGTCTGCTGGGGTGACCCGGGGCCTGCCCCGGCTTCTCCATCCCCAACTTGGCTACGAGCTTTCAGGTACTTTTGTTCCATAAACGTTCCACCTTCAATCCTGGAGCCCCCTTGTGGCGTGTGCCTGCCGGCTCCTACGGGAGACCAGGCCCCTCTTCCTTCCCGAGGTGCAGGCCCTGACGAGCTCTCAGAGACACCCCAGAAGCCGGCAGTCCGTCCTTCAGAACCGCACTCTGGGTCCACAGCTGCCCTCGGCAACCTCAGGAGGTTTATCACCGGCGGGAGGTGGCGCCGGGTCCCTGTGGGTACCTGTGCTGCATTCGGTCCCCTGAGGCGCATCAGGCCCGAGGCGGCCAAGCTCCCTGCCTGCCTTCTCAGTGCTCCGTGTGGTCTCAGGAGGTTCTGGCCTGGCCCTGGGGCCGGGAGGGCCCGAGGGTCTTGGCCGAATCTCCAGTGCCTTCGGGAAAGCGCAGAAGACCGGCCGGGCAGGCTCTCCAGTCGGCTTTGCTGCCCGAGTGTCTTGAGGTCAGAGGCGGTCTTGTTAGGGGTGAGGGGGTAGGGGCCACCTGGGAGGTGCGTGTGACGGGGGTGTCCCGCGCCCCGTGAGTCCACAGGTGTAGGATCTGTTCTCAAGAGGGCGCCATGGCCCCGGCGAGTCTCTGGGCGCCGCCCAACTAGAGCTCACCTGGGTGGGTGTTGGATTTGTTGGGGAGGGCAGAGCTGATGGGCGGGTCCTCCTCCGGGCCCCTGGTCCCACGGGGCCACCGGCCGCACACGCATAGCACTGACTCCTGTCTGCAGGGGCCCAGCCGTCAGCCCGGTGCTCGCTCACGGAGCAGGGCTCTGGGGCCACGTTCTACAAGGAGCCACCACCTCCTGGCTGGCTCCCAGTCCTGGCATGACTCCCTCCATGGTGCGCCTGCCCCACCTTTCCCACACTACCTGTCACCCACCCACCGTCATCAGCTGCTGTACCCTCACTGGGGGGGGGGGGGGTCTCACACCTCCATCCACTTTGTGAGGTCACTTTCTCAGAGATCTTTCCTTCTTCATCCAAACATCCTGCCTTGGTCTCCCTGGGCATCTCCTCCTGCTCTGAGCCTCAGCCCTGCCCCCCTGACAGCAGCCGTCTGCCCACTGGCCTTTCTTGGTGATGCTTGTGGTCCTGGGCCCCCTGGGCAGCGGCTCTGAGAGCCGGCCCGTGAGGCTGCACGCAAAGACGTTCCCTCTGCCTCCGTTTGGGGCTGGATTTATGGGTCCTTATTTCCACAAAGGCCCCGTAATCCGAGGTCGGCTATAAACAAAGCTTTTCAGTTTTAGCTCATAAGAGCATTCCTGGGAGATGTTTATTGTTGTTGTTGTTGTTGTTGTTTTTGTTGTTGTAATTTTTTTGGTCAGAACTGGGATCGTGGTGAAGGCAAGGGCACCGCAAGCCTCCGTAGCAAGCAGATAACGCGTTTATAGAAATACGCGCGCTTTTTCACTCGTGCACGCCGACGCGTGCTGTTCCCCCTCTGCCCTGGTGGTCCTCACTCAAACCTTGAGCAGCTGAGGAGTAGACACTGGCCTCGGACCCCTTACAGAAGTGGCCCTGATACGTCCCCCTCTGGGTCCTTCCAGAACCGGTGGTAGGTGGAGGGGACGAACCTGGGACCGCCTTTCCTGAGGCTGACGGAGGCCAGTGGGGAGCACGCACCGTGCTCCTGGGGCTCAGCCTCACACCGGCCCAGGCTTCCCTCCAGCGCGGCTTCTAGGCCCAGAGGCCAGAGTGGGCCACGCACGCAGGCCCGGGAGGTAAGCACTGAGAGCTGTGGGCTCTGCGGCTTCTCCCTGGCAGTCCGGGCACACACGTGGCCTGGCCCAGGTGTCCGTCCACCACGAGGAGAGCGGATGGAACGATCGTCACTCTGTGTGGCTGGAGACTATGCGCCTACAGGCTGTGAGGAGGCAGAGTGGGCCCAGCCCCTTCTTGCGGTCCGAGTGAGGACAGAGTGCCATGTCCTCGTGCCAGGGTGAGCGACTCCGTCCACTCAGGTGGCACGGGCTCTCGGGAGGATCTGGAGGCAGGATCTCCGTGGCAGCCTTGGCTCCCTGGAACCCAGGACCCTCTCATGAGAGCCACGATATGAACGTGGTCGGAAGACGGTTTAATGCAGGGTAAAGGCCCACGTCGCGGGCACAGCACCTGAGCCTGGAGCCCCCCATCGGAATGCCGAGGGACGTCTAGGGCCGGGTTCAAACAGGTGCCCTCCAGATGGGCCGAGGGGAGGGCACGCAGGTGTCGTGGGCGGGTGTGGGCCTCGACTCGGAAGGCTCTCCGCAAGCCTGCAGGACCTGTGTTGCCCCAACAGTCTGATCCTGTGCCAGCACCCCCCCCCCCCGCCATTTTAACAGCTCACCTGACGGGGGCTTTAGAGAATTAACTTGCCAAACGGACAGTGTCACGCTCTGCCCCTTCCGGGTTGAGGGAAGGTTGGGAGAGAGCTTGAGCACTGCCTGGGTGGGAGAGGGGCCACGCCCACCACAGCCGACCTGGGGCCGGGGACCCTGCTGACCCCTCCCATCTGAGCAGCTGCCCTGCTGGCGCTTCCCCCGCCTTGGCCCATGGGAGCCCCCAACACCCCCTGGAGCTGCAGCCCTGAACCCAGTTGTGCCTCCCCTCCCCCTCCATTCCCCCCCACGCCCGCCCCACGCATGCCTCCCCTCCCCCCACGCCCGCCCCACGCGTGCCTCCCCTCCCCCCGCGTGCCTCCCCTCCCCCC